CTGAGCGATGTTCGAAAACCGACCAACATAGGGAAGTTTATAATAGTGCGCAGAAGGTTTACCGGAGTTAGAAGAGACGTTCTGCCCAGTAGGAGAAGGATTATTTTTCTTGGCTAGATACCTGTAAATGATTTTGTCCATGACCCAAGGTGGAAAACAATTTTTAGCAAGAAAATAAGTTTCTTGACATCCAGATGAAAACCAACCCAGGAATTATTGATCTTATATGCTCTGTCAACCAACGTTCTGACTAAACCTAATTTGTAAATCAAAGGGGCCAAGCTGAAAAAATTAGTAAGAAGACCATTAAACGTCTTCTTGCGATATACACTAGTAACGATGGATGTATGATTCTTGTCTAACAATATGTCTAGAAACGATAATTTCTTATCAATTTCTTTTTCCATTGTGAAACGAATACTAGGATGCCTGGCGTTGATATAATCAAATAACACGAGCGCGTCCTCCTCGCTATTGAACAAACAAAAAGGTGTCATCAACCTAGCGTCTGTAGAACAGAACTTCAGAGAATGAATAGTTATCTGCCCAGTTTTTTTCATGATGTCCCATAAAGAGGTTTGCGAGTACTGGAGCAAGTGGGGACCCCATAGCAACCCCATCTATTTGATCATAAAACACACCCTTAAACAAGAAACCAGTCTCAGCTGTTGCGAAGGTAAAAAGCGTTTTGATGTTATATTGCTTCAACTCGTAGCCTGGGAACTGCTGCCTTGGTTTCCAGCGAAGGGGTCCGTACTTCAGTGTCTTCTCTTCATTATTATTATTATTATTATTATTATTATTATTATTATTGTTATTATTATTATTATTATTGTTATTATTATTATTATTACTATTATTATTATTAAACACCACTAACTTTTCCTCAGTTCCCTTCCGTGCAGATGACGCGCGGTTAAAAATATGGATTGTAAGCAATTGTAAAAACGAAAAAAGCAAATTTAATTCTCTGTACATTATATACATATATAAAAAAATGACAACACCAGTACACAAATACAAACGAAACGAAATTAAGCAAATATGATAAGGGGAAATGATGAGATCATTTCATAGTACAGTGTTAATCCCATACGAAAAAATGAAAAATGCACACGAAATTAAAAAATAATGAGCTTCCATTCCTGCTGGAAGCTATCGAGAAAACCTCAGTCTTTTTTTCTACAGCCTTGCTACTCTAAAGTTTCTTCGTCTTGTCAGTTCTTTATTCTTCATCCTCCAAAGCCGAAGAGCGTGCGTCCTTGTCGCGCGTACCCTACGTCCATTGCGGTGACCGTTTTACGCTTGGCGTGTTCGGTGTAGGTCACTGCGTCGGGTATTACATTTTCGAGGAACGAGGAACACTTTGAGAACTCCGCAAAGGAGCACATGAGGTCAGTACATTTTTCATTATTCGGAAGTCTTAATTTTTGGTAAGATTTTCCTGCAAAGCTTGTCCTAATTATCGGCCTACCTTTCACAGTATTTTTATGATGACGTGTGGAATGTCTCA